GAGGCAGTGGCAGGAGAGTCACTGGAGTCAAGGAATACAAGACCAGACTGGGCATCAAAGTGATACCCTATCTCAAAAAAAAAAATTTAATACAAAATAAAAGAATACCACAGCACACACATGCATACAGTAAATAAATAAATAATTAATAAATAAATACATATATACAAATAATAGAAAAGCAAGTCTTGCTTGATGGTTCATGTTTAAGTATAATACTTGGAGGCTGGGGCAAGAGGATCACAAGTTTAATGGCAGCAAAACTTAGAGAGTCAAGATCTTGTCTCATAAAAGAAAAGAAGTAAAAGAAAATAAAATTCCATGCTGAGATAAAATCACTTGGATTCCTTGTATACCCTAGGGGATGAAAGGAAAGAAGGGGCTCAAGAGAGGCAGGACCGTAGGAGAAGGGTATTATTAATGGAAAAAGAGGGGAAATGGGGGCACCTTAAGTGGGAAAACCATGATGGAGGGGTGAGACAATGCAAGAGATAAATAATGCCTAGCTAGTTTTGAAAACCAGAGGGAACCATATTACTCCTACAACCTACTGACAAATTATACATAGCAGATCAAGAAATATATGCCTAGGTAAGGTTTATCTGAGAACAATTGGTCTTTGCCCAAGATTTATCTACATGACACAGTAATTAAAAGTACCAGAATGGTGGAACCAACCTTCTTGGATGTTTAACAGACATACTTTGAGGCCTATAATAATTCTGTCAGAGAGACATAAAGGACAGTTTTTGCTCCTTTGTCTCCTAGGTCAACTAGTTCCAGGGGACTAGGAGCATCTCTCAAAATGTCCTGTAATTGTGGTGGGTCACCTGTTCTCTTGATCAAGGAGACCGAGGAGATGCCATGAGATGGACTTGAACCAGTGTCCAGTCTACAAAGAGGAGGGTCAACACAGAGGAATCATTTCTTCCATGCTTCCAAACGAAGCCAGCCATGGTCAAGCAGGACCTTTGACTTATCTTCACATAAGTGGAACTGGTAAAAGAAAAGAGCCAGGGGCTCCTCCCAAGCCCATGTGACCCCTGAGGAACAGATTCTCAAACGAGCTTAAGAGTAAAAATAAATTGGTTTATCTGGGCCAACTGTATGGCCTTAAACACACAAAAGGAAAGTATAACCAAAGATTAAAGGGGTCAATATATTTTCTTAAGAGTCCATATGCATAGCTAAAGGTTACATAACAAGCAACAATGCCAGATAGGTGATACCTTCTTTTGAGTTGTTGGCCAGGGTGGCCCAAGGGAT